CTCCCACCCCCCACCATCAGCTCCCCTCTTCAGTGGAAAGAAAGAGAATTTTTAGAAACTACTCTGGGGGGAGTGCGGGAGGCAGGGATGAGGTTCCTCCACCGGAACCATGTCCTTTCTGTCCTGGAACAACCCCAGGAAGAGGCTGAGGGTGGCGTAGAGCGGGAGAATGTCCCACAAAGGGGACATCACGGGAGGCCCGCCCTCTGGACAGGGCCCCTCCTCCCGGGCCACCGGGAGCCCTGTCCCTTCCAGAAGGGCCTGCTGCATCTGGCACGCTGTCCTCCTGAAGGGCAGGGTTCCTCGAGCACACAAGCCCGAGGAGGGTGTCTTTCCGCGTGGCCCAGGGAGGTGGGGCGGCAGGAGGGCAGCCAGAGGACACGGCTGCCTGGCTGAATGGAGGGATTAGGCGTGGAGGGGAGCGGGGAGGGACGGGCATCCTGACTTCACAGCGGCCCAGACGGCGGCAAACGTGCACTGGAAACGCCAGCTCTGTGGGCCACCCTGGGACCATGATGCCTGGGATCAGCCTTCTAGGAAGGCGTCAGAGGGACGGTGGGTGGGTGGGGAGCGAGGGGGCCATGCAAAGAGAGACTTTCCGAAGTCTCCCATGTGTCCCATGGGGACACAGGTGCTGGAGACTTCAGAAAAGCTGCAGCCCTCGCCCTCCCACGGGATCATCAGACCTTAACTTCTCATTTTAAAAGCATATTCAACATGGAAATAACATCACCTTCTTTCCAAGACGGGTTTAAAAAGGCCGACGGGACGCAAAACCTCTGTGCACTGTCAGACGGCCTACGAGGAAGACGATGGCGAGGACGTGGGACACTAGGACACCTGCTGCTGGCGAGGTGGGGGGTGCCGCTGGTGGGGGCGCCACGTGGGAGCAGCCTGGAGGCGGCTCCTCCAGTCCCAGCCGAGCCTTCGGAGGAGGTGGCCCTGGCCGACACCCTGACGGCACCCTCCCGAGAACCGCCCAGCTAAGCTGTTCCTGAACCCCTGGTCCACAGAAATTAGGAGGTAATAAACGTCTGTTGCCCTAAGCTGCTAAGTTTGGGCGAATTTGTTACAGGACAATGAATAATGAACACGTCCCAAAGTGTCACCTGTGCTCTCGATGCTCCAGGCCTTTGCACACACTGCTCTCTACGTGCCATGCCCCTTGCACTCTGACCTTTCCACCCAGCTTGTCACCCCTCAGGGTTCAACAGAATTGTCACGTCCTCAGTGAATCCTGAACACCACCCCCACGACCCCAGAGTTGGCCCCGCCCTGTGGCGCGTGGACCCGGCACGTGGCTCCGTTAGGCTCCAGGCCTGTCCCCCACTGGGCAGCCAAGGGCCAGGCACCCGGACACAGCCAGCGACGGCCAGGAGAGCCACCACTGAGGGTGTCATCTCAGCGGAATGAGAGTAAAAAGCAAGTCTTTCTCAACAAATATTTAAACCCAGAAGCACCCATCCTTTCCTCCAAATGATGGGGAAGCGTGAGGACTTGCTGATGGGAGGCCCCGCCTTCCTCTCTCCCCACGGACCAGCCGAGGGGATCCACCGACCCACCTGGATGAGAGCCAGCACCTTGTCCTGCACGATGGTTGGGGGGTTGCTCTTGGGAGAGATGATTTTGACCAGGACGCCATCGATGAAATCCCGGTTGGCCACGAGGACGTGGAAGCGGTGGCCACAGTTCTTCACGCACGTCTCCAGCACCTGATGCGGGCGGGATGGAAACAGACGTCACCCCCAGGGGCCAAGAGGACGCTGCCCCCTCTCCCCACTGCCGACCATACTGCCGACGGGCTCCTCCAGAGGCAAACCCTTCCGCAGGACACAGGTGGCCCCTTGCTGGCTGGGGTCTCTGGGCCTGCACAGCAGTCGGGTGGCACCGGATCCGCACAAGAAGGGTACTGGGGTCTCAGCGGGGTCAAAACGACCAAGCAGCCCTGGAAACGAGCCTCTGGGTTGGTGGCGACAGCAGGTGGATGCGGGCCCTCCCGGGCGGAGGCCGCTGGAGCAGCCTGCGGTGCTGGTGAGTTACTGGACCTGGTCGTGAAGAGGCGAGTGCCCCACACGGCCGCACAGCCCTGCCTCCACAACTGAGACCGGCAGTGACCCGGGTCTCCCAGCCCCATATGCGGTTTGTGGCCTCGGCCACATTCAAATCAACTCTGCCCCTCCTTCCTCGTCCGGAAAAATAAGTTACATAGGCCTCGGCCACTAGAAAAGCACAGCACTTGTGGGTTCTGACCAATGGCCAGCACGGGCTTGAATCTCAGGTCCACTTTCAGGGCCAGTCTGTCTGAGCTTGGCTTCCCCGCCTGCAAAGTGGGCGCGAGTGCCCCACTGCAGGACTGCAGTTAGGGTGAACGTGTCTGAAGCGCAGACCTGCCTGGCAGGCCAGTGCAGGAGGACGTGTCACAGGGTTACTGTCCTGGGCCCCCACCGCACGAGCAAGGGGCCTTGAGCTCACAGCACCCACTGGAGGGTCCCTCCAGCCTCGCAGGCAGCTCTCCGGACCCCTTCACTCTCTGGAAACCCCCTGACCCGGACGATGAGCCGGCACCCAGGCCACAGCTGGCTGGTGGGGACTGCCTCCAAGGAAGGACGTCACGAGCATCAGGGGACACTGCTGGCCGCCTTGCTTGTCCTCATTCGCCTAAACTAACTGACCACTGGTGACCCCAGGCAGCCACTCCCTGGGGCTAGGGTCGGACAAGGGGGCTTTCCCTGGACAAAGCTTGGTCACGGAGAAAGTTCCCAACACTGATGTTAGGAACGTGACTGCATGGCTGACCCAGGGGAGACAGTTTCACGTTGTATGTCATTTCACTCCATCCTCACAACTCATTCACCCTTTTTAAGTGGAGGCTGTTATCCCCTTTTTTTTTTCAGAGTTAAAAGGCTTAGAAGGTGAAGAAAGTGGTGTAGGTACAAATTGCTGGTCAGGCCAGAAGCAGGACAGGATCTCCCGCAGCCTCCTCTGAGCCTCCGCCCGCCCTGAGGCACAGGGCCACCCTCCTCCAAGATCAGTGAGTGCCTCAGACGACAGGCAACCTCTGCCACGCTCTCATTCCCTCATTCGGTCCTTAAAATGCCCTGGACAGAGGCGGTGGGGCCGCCCGGCAGAGCAGGAGCTGCGGAAGTGCTCCCGGCTGGCAAGCCCACTGCAGGCTGCCCTACCAAAAAGGCAAATCTGTCGCTGTGGGTTGTTGGTCCTGAAACACGGTGGGAATTTTCCTGAATGCAGCTAAGGCCCGCGGAGTAGGCAAACGGCGCCTCCAAGCAATCAGAGCCACGCGAATGACTGAGCAGGAAGCCCCAGACCTCTGACCAACTCCTATTTGGGATACATCTTGACAGCCTTGGTGGGGGCAGATATGAAGTTAAAAGGCCCTCAGGAAGCAGGAGGACTGTGATGGATGAACAGGGTTAGTTCAAGGACAGGACAGAGAAGCCACGAGAGCAGACGTGGGCCCAGGCAGTGTGTGCCAGGCTGGGCCTCCAGCGGACGAAAAATGGGTCTGCACCTTTCACAAATCTCCCAAAGGCATTACGGGATTTGCAGCAAAGGCCTGACCACATCAAAATAAATAAATACTTAGGAATAAATCTAACCAAGGAGGTGAAAGAGCTGTGCCCTGAAAATTACAAGACACTGGTAAGAGAACGTAAAGACACAATGGAAAGGTATCCCATGTTCTTGGATCAGAAGAATTAATACTGTTAAAATGTCCACAGTACCCAAAGCCATCTACAGATTTCACAGAAACAGAAAAAACAATCCTAAAATTCATATGGAACCATAAACGACCCTGGACAGCCAAAACAATCCTGAGAAAGAAGACCACAGTGGGAGACATCACACTTCCTGATTTCAAACTACATTATAAAGCTATAGTAAGCAGAACAGTGTGGTATTAGCATAAAAATAGACACACAGACCAATGGAACAGACCTGAGAGCCCAGAAATAAACCCTCACATATACCGTCAACTAACCTTTGACAAGGGAGCCAAGAATACTCAACGGGGAAAGGACAGTCTCTTCAATAAATGATGTTGGGAAAACTACATATTCACATGCAGAAGAATGAAACTGGACCTCTATCTTACACCAGTCACAAAAATTAATTTGAAACGGTCTAAAGACTTAAATGTAAGACTTAAGGAAACACTAAATGGTGGCCCTCATGCTCTACTACAGGAAGGAAGGAATGGCAGGGCCCACGGTGGAGAGATCTCCACCCCAGGCAGCTACCATGATGCTGGGCACGGAGTGGGAGGTGTTTAGATGCCAGGAAAATGGCCTGCGTGCTAAGAGTTCGTGAGTTTTGCCTGTCCCTGGTGATTTTTGTTTCTGAAAACAGTTCATTTTGGGCATCACTGTGGGTTTAGTGAGAGCTGCGGTTGAAATTCTGAGGAAAAAACAAAAGCTTTCAACTCCCTGTTTCTCAACTGGTCTTTTTCTCATTATTCAAACGCCAATTCGCTGGCAGAGAACTCTAATAAGTCTTGGGTTTTCACTTGGGCAAGAAATCCAAACAGTTTCTCTGCTTTAAAAGGAACATGTTATGGCTGTTTTGGATAAACAACCCACTACTCAACCCTACAGGGAGGTCCACATGCTGACCTGTTACAGTTTCTATTAGAGGAACATGTTGTGGCCTGGTTTTTGCCACATTTGAAAAAATGTTAGCTTTCAAGACAGAAATAATACCTGAAGTTGTCCCTTTTAATTTTCTGACATCTGAAAGACGGGCAAAAACCTGGTCTGTTCCTTCCTGAAAGGAGTCACTTGCTGACTTTCCCTAGAACCTCTGAGGCAATGTTCAGTTTTTATCCCATGATCCAGTTGGCACCTCACTAGCTGTGAAGTCTGGGCAAACCTCTGGGCCTCTCCGAGCCTCAGCTTCTGCATCCGTAAAAGCGGATGATGAAACCTATTTAGGAAGGTTTCTGGAAGCATTTGAGTTAACATCTGAAGAGCTAGCCTAGTCTCGGGCAGGTGCTCGGTGGAAGTCGGCACTTTTGCAAGGAGGAAGCTGACCCCTAGAGAAGCAGCTGGCCTCAGTGCCTCACAGCAGGCTGCTGGCCACCGGGGACCCACGCCCAGGCCTGTGGCTTCTCTGCTCTGGGCTTCTGCACTGGACAACACTGCCCGTGCTGCGTCCCTGCTGGCTCACCCGTCTCAAAGGGTGGACACACTGGGGCGGCAGCAGGAGGCACAGCCACCCCTAGCAGCGCTCACTCCAGGCTGTACCCCAGCTGCGGGCCCCGGACGCTCTCCTGCCCCGGGGGAGGGCAGGGGGGCACTCACCGTCAGCGCCAGCATCACCTCTCGGTAGTTCCGGTTCCCGTTGAGCCGCTTCTTCAGGGCTCGAATGGCATCCTTTGGCCTGGAGAATAGACATATGCAGACCCTGCCAATCCCACCGGAGCCCCAGCCGACAGAGTCAGGGCCACTCGGGCCAACTAGCATGTACACGGGGTTACTCGCTACCGCCTGTTTGTAAATGTGAAGACTGGAAACAAACAAAATGTCTATCATTGTGAATCAGGTTGAATTAAATTGTGCTTATCCACACAGCGGAGTACTGTGCAGCTGCACAGAAGAATAAACACTCTCAACGCACCAAAGATACAGACTAGCATCATCTGCAGAGCAGGGCAGAGGGGACGCAGCCATGTGAGTTACAAAAGGACAAGGAATGCCCAGTGCACACATCTTTGCCAGGAGGGGACCCTGGAGGGAGCCGCCCCTGGGGAGGGCGCCAGGGCCGAGGAGGAGGGGCTGTTCCCCAGGTCGCAGGCTGCAGCCCTCTTGAATTCCACATCACGTGCAAGTATGATTTACCCAGAACAATAACCAGCCTGCCTCTGGTGGGTTCACTGAAGGGACCCCGCCAGAGAAACACAGGTGAGAACGGCCAGGTCCCTGTGCAGATCTGGATGTCCGGGTTCCAGGCTCTGTGGAACTCCTTTTTCCCTGAGAAAACTGAAGTAAGTCTGCTCAAAACCCTGGGAGTTGTGTGTTTTAGGTGCCAGATCTGACCCGGCTTCCCGGGGGCCCTGTAGGCAGAGCTGCAGGGTCCTCCAGCTGACAACAGCTCTGTCATACGCCGACGGTCTGCTCCCAGTACACACTCCTCCTGAAACCACAGCCAGGCTGGGAGGTGGGTCTCCAGCCAGCCCCTGAGGGCATCTACTAGGCGCAGTGCCCGTGTCTCAGGGTCCCCCGGTGCCCATGGCCCGCTCTGGGGAACCCCGCCCTCTGCTATCACAGTGGGCTCCTGCCGCCCACCCATCAGCAAGGCCAGCATAACCTGGGTCTTTCCTAAAGTGAAGGTTCATAAATCGGGGCCTCCTATTCCAACAGTTTGGAAATACAATCTATTTACCAGGACTTCCCTGGTGCCGCAGTGGTTAAGAATCCGCCTGCCAATGCAGGGGACACGGGTTCGAGCCCTGGTCTGGGAAGATCCCACATGCCGCAGAGCAGCAAAGCCCATGCGCCACAGCTACTGAGCCTGCGCTCTAGAGTCGGCGAGCCACAACTACTGAGCCTGCGCGCCTAGAGCCCGTGCTTCACAACAAGAGAAGCCACCGCAATGAGAAGCCCGTGCACCGCAAAGAAGAGTAGCCCCCGCCCGCCGTGACTAGAGAAAGCCCGCGCCCAGAAACAAAGACAAAAAAAAAAAAAAAAAACC